TCCAAGATTCATCATAATGCAAAATTCGTGGTCTCTCCTGCTGCGTCTCCCCTCTTTCAGATTTGGAATTGTCTGAACGTTCATATTTCCATATCAGAAATGATGCAAGGAGCATAGATGTCAAGACCCATATTGCACAGAGCAAGAATCTCCAATTCAACCAATAACTTGGGGTAGTAGTATCCTCACTAACCAGCAGCCGCATTCTGTTACAGTCTTAGATACACTTCATGTTACTTATACGATGTCCACATTCAATTCACAAAATGCTAGCTAGTTCTGCAAACATGCTCCACAAGAATTACTTTTTTACTTGTAAGCATCTTGAAAATGTTGCATAAATAACCAGAAGACTTCCACATGAACATTCCAAGACACGACGGAAATAAACAAGTATCGTTAACATATGTAAATCAACTACACTATCAAGTTAACTCCAAATCAGGCTCCATACATTCATATCACTCATACACACACAATAACAAACATCTGGAACGCAAGTGTGCGTGCGTATCAATATTGAAAACGAGATCACATTATTGAAACATCAAACAGATCATGATAACAAGAAAAAAAATTAAAACCGGAAACCGCTACTTACAGAAATGAAAGAAGGAGAAAGCGGATTGAAAATTACTGCGAACTTGGTGATAGAGAAGTGCTCAATGAAGAATATTAATGGTAAATAGGGGTTTGATTTGCCATGGGAAGGAGGAGGAATTGGATTTGATTACAACAGGTGTGCTTGGCTTGACACCGTAGTAGTATTCTGTCGTATCTTCATGGACGTTGGGTTGATAGTACAATATAGGATAGATATGGTCAGGGACCGACAATTTGATAGCGGTCAGTAGAAACTAGAAACTCCACGTGGATGGATCTCGTTCCTCTCAACTTCCTACTCATCTGAAATTTTAATCTTGGAATAACGCTACATAGCATTCGTGGTGTTGGAGCAACCAGATATGTAACATTTGTTCAATTAAAGGTCAAATCATTTTGCCACTTTGACAAAAAATGGTAACGAATGCACTGACATAATCTCAGTTGGCAACAGATGATTTGTTGAGGATGTTGACAGTGTTTAAAATAGTTCAATGATGGGATGTCATGTGTCATTATATCAATGAATATATTTCAAGGTAAAATTACGTAATTGAACCTATAATTTAATATTATTAATATTGTCATCTAAATTGATATTAAACACTAATGATGTTAAATAACATTGTTCTTAAGGTTAAGAGCGATATGTCAAAAAGTAAAGACATCTCGACTATTCTATTTCTCTATAGTAGACACGAGACATATGCGTGAGACACAATTTACTAATTAATCTAGTGGGGCCTAGTGACGTTATATTCTCATAATAAATACACGTGTCTGCAGCCCACAGAGAATTAGTGACACGATCATGGGCTTGGCCCCGCACCACTTCAACAAGTACTATTCTATGCTTCTCAACTTTTCGCACCGATTCAACAAGTACTATTTATCGTATGCTTCTCAGCTTGTAATGTTGTAACTCACAATAATAATAATACTTGAAAGGCAATGTGAAACTATTGATTCAATCAGGAATTAGGCTACTTCGCTAGAAAATGTTGACATCCTAGTTAACATATGTATTGGTGGCAGGAAATGATTGAATGTAAAAATTGATTATTTTTAATAAAGTTCAATGGCAGAATGTCACTAGGGCTGTCAATAGATTTGATTTTGATCTGAATCCGATCCGAATCCAATGAAATTAATGGAAGATGGATCCAAGGCTTCCATCCGATAACCTGATTAAGATCCGAATCCGATAATTAGTGAACTAAATGGATCAAGTATAGATATAGGTCAATCCGATCCGATAACAATTCGATCGGATTTATTATAAATAATTGAGTCGGTAAAATATTTTTATGACATATTATTTGTGACTAAAATAAATAAATGAGAAAATAAATAAATTTATAATAAAAAAGTCATCAACTTCAACACATAAAAAAGATGAAAAATTTATAATTATTAAACCCGTTTTAAGATTGGAAAAATTAGAAAAAAAAAATTGATTCCAACATTATTTTTTTCCTAATTTCTTTAATTTCGGATCGAATTATTAAATCGAATATCCGCTAACATGACAAAATGAATATGAATTTAATAATCAAATATCCGTTGAATTGTCGAATCGAATAATTATTTTTATCGGATTGGATCCACCCGATCTATTTACCGCCTTGCCCAAATCTCAAAGCATCTAGACAGGATCGACCTGTCTTGTCAGCAATCCGAATACCCGTTGAGCCCACTTAGTCTGTCGGGTCGGCAGAATCATCAAGAACTTTATGACACAAGTGCTCTCTCTCTCTCTCTCCCCCCTTAAAACTCTACACTATCTTTACAACTTGCAGATGCTCTAGTGAAGTGAAGGGAAAATTTGGGTAGTTTTGAATATCCGTTTTTTAATCCACGAATAGAGTTGAAAATAGAGATCTTCTGCAGATGTTGCTTACCCGTTTTTACTCTGTGTTCTTCATCTTTCTCTTGGTAAGAAAAAGCTACTTTTTTTTTTGGGTTTTGGTTAAGAATCTTTTTCTCCATTTTAGCTATCTTTTGTCAAGAATATGAATATCTTCTTTTATTACTTGTTTTATTCTTCTGCTTTTCTGGGTCTGCAGAATGTGCCCTTAACAGAAGTTGTGAGCTCATTAGTGAGCTCATTAATAAACAATAAATCTTACTGAATTTAAGAATGTTTGCCCATTCTTGGTTTTAAGGATGATGTTTTTATTTTTTATTTTTGAAATAGCCCACAGCCCACAAGACTACCGGATCTTTTCTGGCTGTTGAACTTCTATACTCTCTGTTTTAGGCTTCAACTTGAAGCCAGTTTTTATTGTTCATATTGCTTCTCTTATATTGGTTTATGTTCATGTAGTATCTGTTGTAAATGTCTATGCTTTATGATTATATAGTATCTCTTTGGAAGCATATTTTTATGTTTTTATCAGATTTTGTTTACTGATTTATCTAAGAAGTCGTGTGTTTTTAAATTTCCATATTCCTTTAGTCTCATCTTATGTCATCACTCTGCTGCTATAATCATGTTCAAATGACAATGCAGAGTATGATATATGTTGGTTGTGTGGAGCCTTATGTAATGTACAATTTTGCCCCCTCATTTTCCTAAGGTCGAGGGGACCGGGGGTGGTTTCTGCTGCCCCCTGGTGGGGGGGGGGGGGGGGGTTCGTGGGTGTACTTGATGGAATTCCTGTACTAGGTCTTCCTAATATTTTCCTCCTACATTAGTATGGATTATTCATCTAATCTATAACAGTATAAATAATAAACTTTTCAAACAATATATTGTGGTGTTTAGATTACTATGACCCCCACGTCTTCAAGGGAACTTCAAACAACTTGATGAACGTTAGTTTAGCTTTCCTTTATTTTTTTAATAATACTATATTTGAATTTAATTAGCTGCATTCTTTTTGCGTATAAAGAATCTTAAAAGTAGATTTATTTTTTTATTTTTTTCCCGTTTAAATGAGAAATGTTATCTATATACTTCTTGATCTTGATGCATTAGTATGATCTCCAATCGTCTTTCATTTCTTCTAAATTAGTTGAACCTTACCATGTAAATTTTAAGATAGTTTTTTGTTTTTTTGGTTTCTATACTTCATATTATATCCATTTGAGTGTAAAATCAATACAATTGGTATAGTACTATGTGTAAATTTTATGTTATTCTCTCTCTGTCTCCATTTCTTTAGCATTTGTTCTTGTTATTAATGCATTTCTCATGAAATAATTTTGTAAACCCATTTTTTATTAGTCGTTCTGTTATTCGGAGCTTTCTATTTATTTTTGCCTTCTATGCAACTGTGTGAGAATGCATAATGTATCCATGCCCCTCCACAGATACAAAAAGATGGAATAATAAAAAGAGAAATAATAGAAATAGAAAATATATTTGTAATGGGAAATATGTACACTAGCTTTACTAATTGCTGTGTTGATTCTGTCTCAGTTAGGGGCTAGGTTGCATGGTACATCATTTGAAAACCATGGAAGTCGGAAATCGTCTACATTTTCATTCTTTAGTCGATTTTGGAGCAAGTCTATTAGTCATATTGGTAGGTCTATGTGTTCTTTCTTTTCTTTTGTTAATTCTGAATTCTTTCAAGAGATTATTTAATGTCTTGGTTGCTCTATCATTGGTTATAGATTCTGATGATAAGGAATCAAGTAACTCAGGCAAAATGCATGGTATCAGTCACTCCAAGGCAGGTACTTATTCTTGTTTCAATATTCATCTCTAGAGATCACTAGAAGGTTATGTAGTTTTTAGCTTTATTTTTTGTAGTTTGACTTCATAAATTCCTTCTGTTGTTATCCCCCTTCATTCAAAAAGAAAAATAATTCTTTTGTTACGATTCTTGGAATTCAAGCTCTTGTCCATGCAAAATTTGAGTTAAAATGTATATCTAGTTTCATCTTGACATTGTCATCTAGTGTCATGAGTACGGTGCAAACTTATGTTGGACATGTCCAACGTGGAAAAAGTTCGTTCAAGATTCCAGAGAAGGAAAAGTTCTAAAAAAATGCATTTCTAGACACATTTGTTTCATAAATAAATAAATGATAGATGACACAGTCGAGTATGAAGTAGTGCGTACTGCATAAAGTTTAATTTGTTATATTGCTTATAATGAACATTACAGATCCAATACATTAATTAAACTACCAAAAGAAAAACCACGGTAATCTCATTTGACTTTTCATCACTTCTTTCAGCAACATTAATCATCACAAAATCATTAGCGCATTAATGTGTACATTTACTCCACATAGTAAATTAGTGTTCAAATGAACTTCATCTAGTACAGACGTATTGATGGGAAGTGCAAAGTAGGAAGTGACTTCATGTTGCTGTCGGTGCTGAGATGATTGTTGAGATTCTTTGAAATCAAATAGTCAGTAGTTATAATATTGGTAGCCAAATATGCAAGCGTGCAATTAGAAATATCAACCATAGCCTTAATCCTGTTAATCTGTCATTATCAATCTATAATAGCTTAATGTTTTGGATCTTTTTCTAAGCATTGGTACTGAAACCTTTATCCTGTGTTTCGATAACAAATTCTCAATAGTGGAAACTGGGTGAGATTTTTATTAATGCTTTATTTTTTGGAAGAATGCAAATATCATCTAATCTGAAAGTAGTCACTAGACTAAATAAAAGGAAGAATGGAACATACCTTTGTACTTTGAAGTCTTTACTACAGTTGGATAGAATAAAATTGATGCCTATTGTTACAGGGTTTAGTAGAAATTGAATGGTAAACGTTATTGAAACTGAGAATTGAACTTGAGAAGATATATACAGGTAGAAAAGAAAGAAATGAAATTAAAATAAAAGAACAGAATAGACACCAGTGGTGGAATTCGATTCTGCAGATTGAAAATGTTCCTTAGATCTTGAGAAATATTTAGCCACAATATTTCCCTACATGAAAAGAAAACAATTGAAATTTCTGAAGCTATAGAGAAATGATAGTAAAAGTAGAGATGTAGAATTATTGAAACGTAGATGGTGTATAACCACTTCATCAGAAACCTTAAGCAGTTAGAGAGAGCCATATTTATATCATTTAAATATTGTCTTCAATATGCCCCCAAATGTATAGGCAGGGTTCATTTTCCCCACCATAGCCCAACACATGCACAATTTCAGTAAATAGTTAGTTGGGTAGTGACAAGACTTGATCCCTTGAAACTTTGCTTGCTCTGATATCATTGAACCACTCATCTAAAAGCTTAAGCTATTATTAGAGGACCATTTGTATATCATTTGAATATTCTCTTTTAACAAATGGTATACTAGCTAAAGGTACAGAGCAATTCAATAATGAAAGGCAAGATGAATTAAAAATTTAAGCTATAAGACGAGTGCAAGGGAACATGTGTAACTGCGGCCTTCGATAGAAAATTTAACAATGAGTTATTTGATTCTGGATTAAAAAATTAACTCAAGATCAACCATGGAATATCACCATTTACATGCACAGCACATTCTTAGAGATGCTTCTTTCAAGGCATCACTTGAATGGGTAATTTTTATTCTACTTTTATATTTTTTGTTTACAGATAATGGCAATTTGGAATCGTCTAGCCCGCGAAGAATGAGCACCATTAATCATGCCGTGGCAGGTACTTCTGGTTGAATCACGATGCTTCTCTTTAGTCTATTTCAATTCATAACCATGTTTCACGAAAAACATGTTTAGTTCACCATGGCCTTTTTGTAGACGGAACTGGATTTTGGATTTCACATTATCATGAAATTGTTTGTTTGAATCTGGTACTGTCTCAAGGTTACTATTTTGGCATGCCACCTTTACAATGCGTTGTTAGTTGAGCTTCAAGTATCCAATAAGACAATTTTTGTGCCATATTTGTTTACCAAACATTTTCCTTGTTCTAATAGTACATGAGTAGCAGGGAAAGTACAATTCTTTTGCGAATATGGCTTTGATATATTCAAGGTAGAATAGATATAAAGAGTGCCATTAAGATTCAATGTCATTGGAACATGGTAGAAGATTACGGGGTAGACCAAAGCTAATATGGTTTGTATTGGTTGTTAAGGATCTAGTTGTTTTGGATCTTTCAATAAAGGTGGCTGCTATGAAATAAGCGCAAGATAAAAGCAAGATGAAAATAAACCAATCACAGAAGAACGTAAAGATTTTTCGTGGAAAACCAATACAAGAAAAAAACAACGGGCAGATGAGGAGTATTTCACTATAATCAATAATGAATGTTGTTTATACAAGATCTCAATCAATATCTAAAGCTATCTCAAAGCTTTATGAGTATTGTGTTATGTTTAGGCCGTGGATGATATGTGTAAACCTTAGAAACAAAGTTAAAGATGACAAGGGATATAGAAATTGCGTTAAAACGCGAAACGAGCCTGGCAAGGATAAATATGGTGCTTGAGCGCTCAGCCTGACGTAAGTGAGCGACAGTGCAGCGCTCAGGCGATGGGTGCCTCGTCTTGGGACAAAATTGGTTCCAATACTTCCGAACGGCGCCTAGGCGCCTTGATCCTGGCGCTCGACTTCTACCCAAGAAATCCTTATTTCATCTTATGACTTATTCAAAGTCCTTTTTCAACAAAAAACTCCAATCCCAATGGAATTTGGGTCACAATACAACGGTGGCTATGAACCGAATCGAGTGTCAAAGTAGGATTCACGTAGCTAATTGCAACATCGAATAGGGATTAGTTTGTTGTAGTTATTGTTGGGGAAAAAAAATTGCCAAACATGCAAATGAAAGAGAAAAACAAGTAGAAGAGACAAAGTACAAATTTACATAGTTCATCTTACTCGCCCACTACCTTCAACACTCTCTCAATTCCCTAAACAAGACTAAAACTCCAGACGCACGCACACTCCTTTTCATTCTTCTCTCTCTATATATGTGTGTGCGCGCTTATCTCCACTTCCGTATGCTCTCGTTCATTGCCTTTGCTCACCTTTTTCCCTCATTCCTCCAGCCGTGTGTATCCTTGATTTTACACACAATTTCCTGTGTCTTGCATCGTAAGGTTCTTTTTTTTCTCTGATTATCTTGTCATTTTGTTTGTGGTAAATTTCTGTAGATTCTTTGTTATTCATTGTCCTACAAATATTTCCTTTCATGTCTTGAGCAAATTTTCTCTATTCTCCTCTGCACTAGATTTTCCTCCTTTTCTTCCTTTTCTTTTGTTTAATTTTAATTCAAGTCTATATTTAGAAGTTAGGAAGAAGTGAATGGGGGTCCCGGGTTAGATAAAGCTTGGAACATAATGTACGACCATATATTTTGTTTATAATATAAGATACATATCCACATCGTTTTAGTTTTAGTAAGAGAAGTAATAAAGAAATAGAGTTAATGAACATGGGTGGTTTACCTTGTCTCAGCACATTACTTGCTGAATATTATTCTGCATAGTGCATCAAAATTTTCTTAAGTAGCTAATGTGAAATATTCTTTCTTTATGTTCCCATTACTTTAGATGAAACATATTTGTACAGTACTTGAGCAGGAAAGTGTCTTTTAGAACTTGTGATTAAACTTTGGCCTCTCTCTTTCTTTACTTATGGATGCGAGTGGCATTTGCCAGTAAATCTACTACTTTGTCAATTTTAACTTCGGTCGTCCACAGTTCTTGTCATGTGAATTTGAATCCATGTATAGCTTCTATTAGATTTCTATACGTTACATTAGCATTACTCTTTTGTATCTCGATTGCAAATTATCTGAAACTTTTGGAAGTTAGATTAATACACCCCACTGTCCTTGTCCAATCAAGAAAAATCCGGTTTTATTATGAAAGAAGTAAAATAATTTCCATGTTAAGGATTTGAATTTATTTTTATAAAACCATCTTGTTTTATCCCTAGCACATTAGTTTATCATGTAGTCTGTCTTATTTCATGCAAAATGTACAACCTAAAATCTGTCATGTAGTCATAGGTTTTAAATTCTTAAACTCGAATGCAAATCCTTGAATCAAGCTTACCCTATGTTATGTTAATATGTCCCTCTTAATGTTAAATGTTCCTCACTCTCTTTCTGTAACCTATGGATGACCATTTTTACATTATTTCTGTCATGGTCTTAGAGCTATAAAGCATTATTCGGTCTCTCTTTGGTGAATGTCCGACCTACATTTTTACCTTTCTTGGAACTCTATTTCCCCAGTTGTTTCTTTTGAATGTCAATATCCATTTCAAACATATCATACTTGTTCTCTTAACTGAATATTCTGGACTTCTCTTCTTTGCAAAAAAGTATTCACTTGGCTTTTATGGTGACCCCAAATTTATTGATTGGATTCAAATGTTACTCTGTGAATCTGTTTTGTTGTACGTTCACTCTATTGTAATATCAATCAACATTCAGGAGCTCATTTGACAAACCTGCCTTTAGTTTTACAACCTGTTATTTAGTTGAGGTTTTATGAGGCATTGGGTTTTAGTGCTACTAGCTTACATTATTACTCTGGTGCATCCAGTGAGTGGGATAGGTGCCAACTGGGGCTCACAAACATCACATAACCTGCCTCCCGAGACAATGGTGCGGATGCTAAGAGAGAACGGGATTCAAAAAGTTAAGCTTTTTGATGCTGATTATGATACACTAAGAGCACTTGGAAAGTCCGGGATTGAGGTTATGGTTGGCATTCCCAATGACATGCTTGCAACTTTTGCTTCCAGCTCGAAGGCTGCTGAGAAATGGGTAAATAAAAATGTCTCCCATCATCTCTCTACCAATAATGTCAATATCAGGTAATTCCACACTCTGCTTCATTGTGCTAAATCGTAAATTTGCTGATTCACAAGAGAGATTTTGCCCTAAGTCAATAAAGTTTTAGAACAAATTCGGAAAGTTGATTGAAGTGAAATGATTAGCATTGTAAGAAAATCTTCTTTTTGGGTAGTGTGTAATGAACAAGGTTGATTCTTTCTTACATGCAAATAACGTTCCATGAGCACAGGTACGTTGCTGTTGGTAACGAACCTTTCTTGGCAACATATAATGGAACCTTTCTTAGAACCATGTACCCAGCTCTCAGAAATATTCAACAAGCGCTGATAAAAGCCAGCATCAGCAATCAAGTAAAGGTCACTGTTCCTCTAAATGCTGATGTCTACTCGAGTTCAACTAGCTTGCCATCTGGAGGTGATTTCCGAGCCGATATCCATGATTTTGTGATTCAAATCGTGAAGTTACTGAGTGATTATAATGCACCTTTCACAATCAATATATACCCGTTTATAAGTCTTTATACAGATCCCAGCTTTCCTGTTGAATATGCCTTTTTTGATGGAAATGCGACACCTCTGAATGATGGTGGTACGAACTATTACAATATGTTTGATGCGAATCACGACACTCTTGTCTGGGCATTGCAAAAGAATGGCTTTGGAAATTTACCTATAATAGTTGGAGAAATTGGGTGGCCGACTGACGGGGATCGAAATGCTAACCTAGAGTATGCACAAAGGTTCAACCAAGGCTTCATGGCTCATATATCGGGTGGAAAAGGAACCCCAATGAGGCCAGGGCCCATCGATGCATATCTATTTAGTTTGATGGACGAGGATGATAAGAGTATTGATCCCGGAAACTTTGAGCGACATTGGGGAATTTTCAAGTATGATGGACAACCCAAATATCCTCTCAACCTTGGAACCACTAACTCAGGATCTCTCATCCCGGCACGAGGTGTAATTTATTTAGAGCGAAAATGGTGTATAATGAAGCCAAATGCAAAACTAGATGGTTCTGACGTCGCTCCAAGTGTAAGCTATGCTTGTGCACGCGCTGATTGCACGTGCCTCGGTTATCAGACATCATGTGGAAATTTGGATGCTCGTGGGAATATTTCGTACGCTTTCAACAGCTATTACCAGAAGAACAATCAACTTGATGATGCCTGCAAATTTTCGGGTCTTGGAACAATTACAAGAGCTGATCCATCGACTGAAAGTTGCAGGTTCAATGTCATGATCAAGGCATACTACGGGAGTTCTGTACGATTATCAGGCTGTATTCTGAAGACATTGACTTTGGTTGTGAGTGTGGCTCTCTTTTTGTTAACTAATCTATGATTTCTGACTTCGGCTTGACTGATCTTATTAACATTCTAAGTGGAAAATTGTTGTAGTTGATTTTTCGAAATTTGGAGGTTTAATATTGACATTTATTAGGAAGTTGTAGGACAATAAATAAGACTGCTGCTAATTGTTTGATGCATGATTAATGCATACTTGAATTAATGTGATTTTTTTTTTTTGCAAGGAATGTTTACATGATGTTATTTTCTTGCACATTTGAAATATTTGTCACTGCAAGGGGGAGTTGTAGCTCAGATTGTGTTATTTCTTGTGTATTGTAACCATTGTTTCTTATTCTTTTCATCTCGAATCTCGAGTCATCCCACCCTTTCTTCCTCGAGCATCGATGCATCAAGGACTTCATTGATTGAAGTATACTTTAAGCTCTTTTATAAAAATAGATATGGCTGAAGCAATGGAATAGTGATTCCGCTAATTCAAGATTGATTTCTTAATCAGTGGAAGGCCCCAATTGGTCAGCCAGTTTATATGGCTCAGCCTCAAGTTGAACATTGGGAGGCTGTTATGCCTNTTTTATACAAGGCTAATAATCATCTCGGAAGTAACTGGTTGAGCAGTTAAATTAGCTAAAGTAGTGATGAGTAATGTGTAGTATGGAAAGGCTGTCCATTCCTAATTTCAATGGAATTTTTTATTTTTTGTTTCGAGTTTTTCCAAATTTCAGGGCAGGAGAGAATACAATCTCTAAAGGGTTAAATTGTGCCATTGGTTCCCAACATATTTTTTCATTGGATATATTTCAATTTGTGCTCATCATAACAATTATGTTTTTACTATTTATTTTTATCTACATCTTATTTCATTATTCGATAATTTACACATCCCAATCTTGACGATGATTTTTGTCCAAATATTTTATGCCCGTTATTTTAAATGATGAAAAAATGTTTATTACACTTTCGTATTTATTATTATTCTTATTTTAAATACGAGGGAAAATAAATCATTTTACGCCCTTTAAATGGACTTTTATAATGGAAACTTTTATCAAAGTAAAGTGTCCTAATTAATTCGAGGTTAAGAATAAAAATGAAGACTTTTAAGTGAAATTAAAATATGCTGCAATTTATATATACAACGATGTGAACATAATTAGCCTTTTTCATTAGTTTTGCAACTTTTAACAAAATAACAAATTAACAAAATAGGGTCCCAATTATGGAAACCTGCTCTTGTTTGATGGGGGATTAAAATCAGATTTTTAGTAAATTTTGATAGAAATTAAGAAATTTGTGGTTGAAAAGTTGTATGACTCATAAAATATGTGATTAAAATTAATTGTTGATTTTGACTTAGATTAAAATCTAGATTTTCAATTTCTACCAAACAGGGGTTCTCAATTTTTAATTTTAGGAATCTAATCGCTTGTTTGGTGGCTTTTAATTTAATTTTAAAAAAACTATGTTTTGAATAGTATTTTTTGGAGAATGCGTGATTAAAAAGTACGAAAAATTTTGGATTTACGTGTAAAATATTTTATTTTATGAATGTAATTGAAAATGAGTATAAAAAATAAATAAAAATAAAGTGAATTAAATTAGAGGCAACCCCCAAACAGAGTTCAAGTTTGATTTACAACTTGAACTGCACATGACAATTAACAAAATTTTGGACGATAAAAATGAAATAAATGTTTAATTCCAGCTATTATACTATAATCATAACATAATTAGTTTTAATTTAGAGAAAAATTGAAATCTTACCATTACCCCTTTTCGACCATGCACCAACCTAACTTTTAACTAAATCTCGTCATCGTCTATAGAGAAGTGGTCTTGTAAGCTATTGTGATTCGAGATTTGCTGCATCAATGGCGACTGCTAAAACTATGAAGGGTGTCTCCCCTCACGAGTTTATGAAGGCTAATGTTGCTCACCTGAAGCGCTCCGTCATTTGTGCAACTATAATTGGTATTTATTCGTGTCGATTTATACATTGATGGATCAATGACATGTAGAACCTACTTGGCCGATAAATAATGAGAATTGTAATTTCGTTCAAATCCATTAGTCAAAAAATATCGAATATTATGCGAATATGATTAACCTTATTAAGAATAATAGCTTACCCTGACAGTTTCTCTACTAATCGGAATTCAAATCTTTGCTTATCCGTGGACCTTTCAAGTTGGAACTCACAATTTGTTCATAAACTTACAAGTTCGAAAAATTGCAACACTCTATAAATCATAGTTACTAAGTCCAGTTTGGACTCCCTTGGTCGACCCGAGAATTGAAGAACCAACAGTTAATCGAGCTGGTTCTCTAAATGAACCCACAAAAACTCGATTAACCTGGTAAAAATCGATTGACTCGACAACTCAAAACAAGCAGTTAAACTAGTTAATAATACCTTTGATTTTACTAATGTATCTCTTGTTCAGAAATTATTATAGATTTGAAAATATATTTTTACTAAACAAATTGTTTCATTTCCAACTACATGGTCTTCCACGTTTTCTAAATTTTTTTTCGTTGTGACGTGCATCTGTTAACCTCTTTTCGTTTTCTTTAGCGCTTGTGTGACTATTTTCGTTACAAGTACGTAGTTTTTGAGTAATAAATGGTGTCTCATTCAAACATGAGTTTTTGTTCTTCATTATTAGAAGTTGGTGGTATTTACTATTTTACATGTAATCGTTGTTATTGTTTTGTGTATATTTAAAAACTAATAAGAGTATATAATATTGGAATTGATCAATTTATTCAACTGCTGATCTGACAGTTCAACCAACGACCAGATAACCCACTTATTTCTCCGAATCAATGATCTGATTGATTTTTATAACTAGCTATATTCTAAACGACTAAACCAATGCGAGTTTTGGCAGTCTTTTCAATATTCATGACCAATTGATAATGATGTAGATATTTTAACAAATTCTAAATGTAAGAATTAATTGAAGCAAAAATGATTATATTCAAGAGTCCAACATAATCCACATTCATTTCACAACTCTTTCAACACCATATATCCGATGGAAATGCTGCACGATTTATGAGGCGATTGACTCATGTCCTAATTGGAATCCTTTTAGACATTTTTCAACCGTAGTGCGTATTATCAATCATAGTGGCATCGACTTTTTATGTTGTGTGCATCAACACATTCTTCACGATTCAATCGAGTAATAACAAGACTGAAAACATTATTGGAGCTTCCACTTCTTGATTAGGATTAAACCTTAACTTTTCGGAATAGGATACACATGACATGTTCGACTTTCTTGTGAAAGGATATGTGGATGGTTAATCACACTCCGATACTTATGAATTTTGTTTTAAAAGTTCAAATGGACAAAGATTCAGTTTAGCTAAAGTGTTTGTACTGAAATATACATGGTGGTTAATGGGGGTATTTTTAGAGAACGAAGGTAGCTTCTAAGTGTAAATCTTAGGATAGGAGCTTCGATAGTCAACATATCTACTCTTTATTGACATAGACATGCATTTAAAATGCATGACATCCTGTGGGATTCGAACTGGGTTCGAATGGTGCTCCCATAATTTGTGTTAAAAACGTGTTTTGGCAAATGCAACTTCATTAAAACCACACTTTCAACCGGATTGCGACACATGGATGAATCTTGGTTGTTGATTTGAATTCTAGATGGTTCTATTCATTTATGCCATTTTCATTTGGCATATTCGAGGCTGAGGGTTTCGTTCTGTTCTCTCTGTGAATGCGCCGTTTGAGGGTTTTCTCTGGTTTTGTTCTGTCTGTAATTCCTTCTCTAATTCTTGATTTGAGAAGGCGATCTGTAATATTTTAGCCTCTTTATGGTGATATTCTGAGTGCATATCTGTAAGGAAGTCTTCGTGCTTCAGAGTTGTTGTTTATGAGGTTTTGAAGCGACTCTTTGTGGTTTGTATAGATTGATTACTGTATTTTGAGAGAGATAAGTGTTTTGTACTATTCGATTTGTCTAACCGTCTTTGTAACATTTGTTACCATTTTGGGTGTTATAGTGGAACCAAGCTTAATCCAAACTTTTGGATGCTCAACGAGGGATGTAGGTGTTAGAAGCGGTCACCGAACCTCCAGAGCTTAAGCCGAAATATATCGATTGTTTTTATTTAATTTTCTACACTTTATTTCAGAGAAAGTTTTGGTATCTCAATTTCTTGGTCTAATATTGTGTTTTCATGGCCTAACTGTGGTATTAGAGCCATTTGATTGAGGAGCAAGATACCCGGATCTTGGAGAAAACGGTTGATACGAAAAATTGCATAATATCGAGTTTTTTTTTAAAAAACTCGCTTGGTGAGATATTTCTAAACCTTTGTAAAGTTCACTTTTCAAATTTTTAGGATTTCTTGATTTTTCCCTTGATTTACCGTACACTAAAACGCCCTTGATCTCAGTTTCTGTACAAAGGCTCCTATGAGGCCTTGGAAATTTGAGATTAATCAAGAACGAGTGTGTACCTGGAGAATCTTGTAGGAGGAATCTGTGAAACATTATTTTGTGATCTCTGTTACCGTGTTTACTTTGGAGTTTGATCTGCATATTCTCTGCAAGTGCTTGATATTTGAAAATCTTGTTTTACTGTAATTTTCTAATTGCCACCAATCTATACTCTTGCCGTTCTTTGCATATTTGTGTAAGTTGTCTTCAGTCTCTAAGTCTTACTTGACTATAGCATTGCTTCTGCAAAATTTGAAATCAGTTAGTTTCATGAAAAAATTGATTTCAACTTATGGAGTCAAAAAATGAAGATTATCCTAATGCAAATGAAATGAGTTAAGGCCTTAAATGATAGTTGGCCTGTTGAATTACTTCCTGCAAAGAAAGCTGAATTTGGAAAAGTTGATTGAAGTACTATTTTCTTGTACTTATCTGAAAATGAGATAAGAAGTATTGATGAAACTAAAACTATCTCTGAACTATGGAACAAACTTCGTGCAAAGTATGTGACTAAGACTACTCCAAATAAGTGTTTCTTATTAAAAGAATTATTTTCTTTCAAAATGAATCCCTTAGTTGATTTGGATGAAAATTAGAACAGATTTACAAAACTCACCCAAGACTTGGCTAACTGTGATGAAAACTCCAAATAAGTGTTTCTTATTAAAACAATTATTTTCTTTCAAAATGGATCCTTCTGTTGATTTGGATGAAAACCTGAATATATTTACAAAACTAACCCAAGACTTGGCTAACTGTGATGAAAAACTTTCAAAAGATCAGATGACTGTAATCTTGTTAAACTCCATTAGTGATAGATATAAAGACATCAATGTTGCTCTAGAGTATGGTATGGAAGAACTTACTATTGATGTGATTATAAATTCTTTAAGGAATCAGGCTCTAGAGGTAATATCTGTTTCTGGTAATAATCAAATTGGAAATAATTTGCTAGTAAATGGGAAATGTTATGGTAAATCAAATTATCATCCTAAATCTTTAACAGAAAATAAAAACAGACTTAATGACAAGCAGAAGTTCAAAGCTAAGGCTAAATGTAAGAAATGCTACTACTGTGGGAAACTAGGAAATTTTGTCAAAGATTGTTTTAAAAAGAAAAATGATTTGAAAGATAATAAGTTTGATGAAGTAAT